TATTTTATCAAATTTCAATCTATAAACTTTTCAACGCTAATCCTCGCCAATCATGAAAGATAGCTGTTAAAGCCGATTCAAATTCAACAAAAACCTTACATTCCTAGAAACTAGACAGCAGAACAAACTCACTTTACTTCCGCAAACAAACCACTCCATCATTTTAAACTTTAAAAAAATGTAGAACTTTCTCAGATGAATCCACTCAGCCTTTCTAGGTAGATACCAGGAGAAATTTGGAGAGTCAGTCTTCATCTAATTGTTTATTAACTTTTAGCTTACCTATTATCCGTGTGCGCTAAGAGGGGGCAAAATTAGATGAAATTTTTTTTGTTCCACCATAATAGCTTGAAGTATGTCTGCACTTATGATGTTCTCGCTTGATTGCAAGAGAAAACGCTGGCAGCCCAGATAGCCCTCTAAACTAAATTTGTAGGTATGTCGAAAAAGGCTCAATTGAACCCGGAACTATTGGAGGAAGCAAACCTCGAGTGACAACACCTAAGGTAGATAGCCATATTCTTAATCCAAAATTTCCCCACATTTTGATTGTAGGTTTTCTTGTTGACTCACCTCTTTCCCTAGGTAGTGGAATACATCAGACTACTGAAATGCTCTGATCCTGGTATTTTTTCTTGGGAGATTCGCGACCGGCTTGTCGCAGATGGAGTTTGCAGCAAAGAAAATGTCCCCTCTGTAAGCAGTATAAGCAGAATACTTCGGAGTAAAATACCAAAAGGTGAGGACGTTATTCGACCAATATTGTAGTCAATCGAATGGATAGGTTGTTCAGGCTTTGATCAGTCTTCCTTACAATTCTTTCCTTATGCCAGATGTCCACCTACAGATCCGATAGGACTGCAAATGCAATACAGCCAATATATGAGTTTTGGTAAGGTTTGTAAGACGTGCGCTTTAAACAATAAAAACTTGAAAATTCGGAAGTATGTCAGCAGAGTGTGACCTTTTGAAAGACAATTTTTTTCTAGGAAATACTGGGGACCCTATTCGCTAATTCCATACGATTTTTAAGTATTTGAAAGGATTATCACTGGGAAAACTTCAAACTAATCCGACAGTTCCTCCTTTAGAGAAGTTTGTATATCGCTACTTCTGCTGAGTTTTGGACTACTGATTATAGAAATCATACTCGTTTCGCAAGATAAGACCCTGGTACAGAGTTAATTTATTGGATAGAAAAGTTCGAATAAACTTGCGCCTACCGGCGGATATGCTTTTCGCAATGTCCTTTTATTGCCCAATGGAATTAGCCAAACACCAAGGAATTTGTAAAATTTACGCTTTAAGTTGCTACCATATTAACTGAAATTAGATGTACGGGATGACCAAGCATACTGTTCGCAGGAGGAATTTTTTCCTAAAGATTTATCATACGCCAAGTTCCTGGTTTCTGGGTCGCAAAAAAGCAAAAGCTCTTTCAAACAGTCATTCATAATCATATGATCAAATGACAATGCTTCCAAATAATCACACACCCGAATCTGACGGTATTGAAATTATACAGAGCAAAAAAAGCTGCTTCATCATGACATAAAGCAAGATCTTAAGTCAAAAAACAAACGTAAATCGAGGTACAAAACGAGAAAATTGTCACTGAATACTCCATACGCCCTTTAAAAGTGATCAATACGAAATCTTAACAAATCAGACAATATTGAAATATATTTTGTTTTTTCAGAACAATTCCGACCTTACGCTCACACAGAGAATCACATCTGCCAGCCAACGGGAGCCTTGAGCTGCTGAAAGAAACGATGTAATGAACTGTCTATTATCTTTAATATCTTCTTTCGCTACATATTACTGGCTGACGATGGCCTAAAAAAGGCACAAATTTATGGGTTTGGTAAAAAAGATTTGAGTTGCTTGTTGAAAAACCCTTTTGTACATGTGATAGCCATCATATTTGAATCCTTGTATTCTTTG